CCACAAACCCTGGTGGCTCCTGATCCCACAAACCCTGGGGGCTCCTCATCCCACAAACCCCGGTGACTCCTGATCCCACAAATCCTGGTGGTTCCTCATCCCACAAACCCTGGGGGCTCCTCCTCCCCTTCCCACAAACCCTGGGGGCTCCTGATCCCACAAACGCTGGTGGCTCCTCGCCCCCTTCCCACAAACCCTGGGGGCTCCTGATCCCACAAACCCTGGTGGTTCCTCATCCCACAAACCCTGGGGGCTCCTCATTCCCTTCCCACAAACCCTGGTGGCTCCAGGAATGTTGTAGGACCCTGTGAGTCCCTTTGGGATCTGGGGATGGTTCCAGAAATGTTGTAGGACCCTGATGAGTCCCTTTGGGATCTGGGGATGGTCCCTGGAATGTTGCAGGACCCTGATGAGTCCCTTTGGGATCTGTTGCTGGTTCCAGAAATTCTTTAGGACCCTGATGAGTCCCTTTGGGATCTGGGGATGGTTCCAGAAATTCTTTAGGACCCTGATGAGTCCCTTTGGGATCTGGGGATGGTCCCTGGAATGTTTTAGGACCCTGATGAGTCCCTTTGGGATCTGGGGATGGTTCCTGGAATGTTGTAGGACCCTGATGAGTCCCTTTGGGATCTGTTGCTGGTTCCAGAAATTCTTTAGGACCCTGATGAGTCCCTGTGGGATCTGGGGATGGTTCCTGGAATGTTGTAGGACCCTGATGAGTCCCTTTGGGATCTGTTGGAGGTTTCTGGAATGTTTTAGGACCCCGATGAGTCCCTTTGGGATCTGTTGGAGGTTTCTGGAATGTTTTAGGTCCCTGATGAGTCCCTTTGGGATCTGGGGATGGTTCCTGGAATGTTTTAGGACCCTGATGAGTCCCTTTGGGATCTGGGGATGGTTCCTGGAATGTTTTAGGACCCTGATGAGTCCCTTTGGGATCTGGGGATGGTTCCTGGAATGCCGTTGGCCACGGTGAACCCTCGCAGCCCCTGTCAGGATCTCCCTCCCCCCCCATTGCCGTAGACCCCGTTCCCTCCTCCTGCTCCACCCGGGGTCGGCCGAGGGTGCCCGGGGTCGGCCGAGGGTGCCCGGGAGGGCGCCCAGAGGGGAGTGTGGGTATCCCAATCCCCCCCAAAACACCCCTCTCCCACCCTTTTTCCTTGTGTCCCAGAGGTGCAGTTCCGCCCGTACCGCACCGACGACTTCATCACGCGGCTGTACTACGAGACGCCGCGGCTCACCGTCCTCAACCAGACCTGGGTGCTCAAGGCGCGGGTCAACGACTCGGAGAGGAACCCCAACCTGTCGTGCAAGCGCACGCTCTCCTTCCAGCTCATCCTCAAGAGCAAGATCAACTCCCCCATGGAATGCTCCTTCCTGCTCCTCGAGGGGCCCTACGACGACGTGAAGATCAACCCCGTCATCTACCACTTCGTCTTCAGCAACGAGAACAACGAGACCGACTACATGGCCCTGCCCATCGTCGACTCGGTGGAGTGCAACAAACTGCTGGCGGCCAAAAACATCAACCTCCGGCTTTTTATATTCCAGATCCAAAAATGAGACTTGGAAAAATTAAAAAAAAACAAAAAAAAACAAAAAAAAAAGGAAAAAGGACCCTCTCGGATCCTTCCCTCCCTTTTCTCCCCCTTCCCCCTCTCCCTCCTTCCCCCTCTCCCGGTGGCGTTCGGTTGGGAAGCGGCGGAGAAACGGCGAGAGAGCGACAAGGAGGCGTTGGGAAAGTCGATGGGGCGTCTTGGAACCAGCAAAAAGTGGGGGGAACCCAGTGGGAATGGCTTGAAACCGTCAATAAATGGCTTGGAAGCGACAAAAAATGGTGGGAAACCGTCAAAAAGTAGGTTGAGACCCTGAAAAAATGGTCTAAAAGCGACGAAAATTGGTGGGAAACCATCTAAAAGTAGGTTGAGACCATGAAAAAATGGCCTAAAAGCAACAAAAATTGGTGGGAAACGGTCAAAAAGTGGGTTGAAACCGTGAAAAAATGACCTAAAAGTGACAAAAAATGGTGGGAAACCATCAAAAAACAGGTTGAAACCACAAAAAAATGGCCTAAAAGCAACAAAAATTGGTGGGAAACCGTCAAAAAGTAGGTTGAGATTGTGAAAAAATGGCCTAAAAGCGACGAAAATCAGTGGGAAACCATCAAAAAGTAGGTTGAGACCGTGAAAAAATGGTCTAAAAGCGACAAAAATTGGTGGGAAACGGTCAAAAAGTAGGTTGAGACCAGGAAGAAATGGCCTAAAAGTGACAAAAATTGGTGGGAAATCAACGGGAATGTTTTCAAACCATCAAAAAATGGCTTGAAAGTGACAAAAAAATGGCCTAAAAGTGACAAAAA